TACCTCGCAGCAAGGGGGACAGAGGTTACCGTGGCGAACAAAAGATCGATTCTTCCGGTGGAAGTATCTTGTAACTCTGCTCGGTAAACTCTTTAGGAAGCAGGAAATTGTTAGTCCGTCGCGGAAGAGTGGGCGGAGGAAATGATCGGTAGGTGACGCCGATACTGGAAAACACGGCGGGCTCAGAACGGGCCGCGCCAGTCATCCGCCACGAACGATGACGGCGATGCACAGTGACAGCTTTTTTTCAAAAACTTGTAATTTTCTCGTCAGGATGCAATTTTCTTAGTATATAGCAGCAAAATGCCATTTGAAATTTGAAAGCGACGTGCATAGTTATTTTAGATAGAGATACAAATCGCCAAAATTATCGAATTCTCGTGTTTCGTATTACATATCTTAACCCCTTGACATACAAATAAAACGGAAGTTGATGCGTCCGAAATACAGGCGGCCCTCGACTTTCGCACATTCTACTTTCGCACAATTCGCTATTTTACACATCTTAAAAAATGCAACTTTGTAAGCCTTTGCTGTCGAATGTTCCCTCGGAGCGGACATCGTGAGTCGAGCAGGCTATATTGTAATTGGATGCCCCCTCTCAGGGGACATCAAACTTTAGCCATCAGATTACAATGTTATTCCGATCGAGAGGTCAAGACTCTTTGTCAGTTAAAAATATGAATGAAGCCTTTATGCATCTAGACAAATTTTTAACTATTATGGAAGAATGCGATCCCAATGGAGAACGTATGTCTCAAGTACGTAGGGCAATACAAAAAGACACTGCGTGTTATAGAAATCTTTATCACGAAAAGAAAAAAAAGGAGGTACTCAAATAACTCTTGACAAGTTTATAAAGAAAACACCCGAAAGCTAAATAAATAAATACTTTAAAACACCGTTTTTGGTGCATATTTTTGTAGTCTACTTTCGAACATTCAACATTCGCACACACTTTCAGGAACCAATTGTGTGCGAAAGTCGAAGGCTCACTGTATACTATTTAATTTGGCTCAACTGAACAGTTATGCGCAAACTGAGAAAGAGAATGTTTTATTTTGAAATTTGGTTTACTGATTTGTGGATGTAACTTTGTTATTGGTACTGTCGCGAAGGTGGGAGGGTGGGGCGTCTTGAACATTGTAAACAAACCGGAATCGACGCACGAGTGAAGCAACTGAGTAATCTATTAACCCCTTAACGCGCAGAAACGTATTAACACGGGCGTGCAAAACCGGCCAAAATGTGCAGACCCGTATATATACGGTCGGCGTCGCAACTTATGTCGCTAAAATGTTCAGATTCGAATATATCCGGGCAGTAAAAATAACTTAATAAAAACCAAGGAAAACATTCAATTTATTGATATTCNCGGCGTCGCAACTTATGTCGCTAAAATGTTCAGATTCGAATATATCCGGGCAGTAAAAATAACTTAATAAAAACCAAGGAAAACATTCAATTTATTGATATTCATCGTGTAATTCTGTATTGTAAGCTGTAAAGCTTGTTTATTTGGGATTATAAAATATGGCCTTTTAGGGTGACACTTATAAGCATCTCTGACCTGGTAATTGTTTCTATCTATCTATATCCATTATTGCGTATCTAATTAGCGTTGGCACTTTTGTGAGTTTTGTTATGACTAATTTATTTATTACTCTCCAGTTATCTCCGATCTCTTTCTATTTTTTGCTTATTCAGGAATAAAATATGCACTTTTAGGATGGCACTTATGAACATTTAGTGTATTATTCGTGAGCAAGTCGTGAAGTAAAGTAGACGTTATCAAAGTGAATTTCTTCAAAGACAATTGTTTTTTATTTTTTACAAATATTATTAGTGTCAACATATAAAAACGTTTTTGTTTTATGGTGTATTTTTATAGAGAGTAAATTGGATTTTTAGTGTATAAAAGGTATGTTTTCTAATGTTGAAATAAGGAATGTTGGGCTATGTGCTGCACCTTGTTTTGAAATTTACCATACAAAAGAAAATTTTGAATAGTTTTAGTTTATTATATATTTTTCAGCTAATAAATATTATTATTATATTATTACAAATTTAGGTAAAATTAAATATTTTTCAGTTTTTTTGTCGTCTCCTCCTTCCCCTTCAAAATAGTAACTGGTAATTGAGAAACAGTACGATGGGTACAAAATTCGATCTGCAATGCGATTCAATATTCACTATAATTATTTATCCACTATTTTTATTGAATTTTTAGTAATTTTTGCATTTTTTTTACATATTTATTGAAATTAAGGTCCAAATATGTATTTTCTTAGATAAAAAAAATTGATTTTTTTTGGTCGATTTTTTTTTTTAAATTGTGCATTAAGGGGTTAATATACTGCACGAATTCCGCTGAAAGCGGTTCTTGAGGAGTTAGACTCGTGAAAGTTTACAGTGGCACATGAAATGAATAACGACCCCAACTCGTCATTGTCAAGGGGTTAAAGATGGCAACAAAGATGTGTAAAGTTTATTCTGACCTTAACTGCGGACACCGAGTCTGACAGAATCTACTGCAAGCATTGTTGCTTATTAATGCATTTCCATTTCTTTGTAAGTTTAAGTTTTCTATGTGCAACTGTGAAATATTTTACAATAAAAATTTGCAATACATGCTATATTTAATCTCTACGTAAAGAAATTAAATTACATTTCATTTCTAACATATTTTAGTGAGAGTCTCACAAACTATGTGTGTGTGTGTCCGTATTGTTTCCAAAAATTTTGATATCCACAATTAAGGGTTAACACGAATTACCATCTCTGATCAATTGACCGGTCTGACTATTATATATTGAAATTATGAAGATACTGAAATGTGATATAAAAATTGTAACAAATGTAAGTAAATTTCAGCTTGTGTAACCTTTATAAGGCAAAATGCATTCCAGTCACTTTTAACTCTCGGCAGGATTAGTGTTAAATAAACCACTTGTAGAACATTTTACCATTAAAATATATATATTATAGAGATGAACTTCGCACGTAAGGGGCGCGAAATATTTTTGAATTCAGTCTTGTGCCCTGCTCCTCAAAATGTCCTAAATCGTTGCCATATTATAATATAATCAGTAGAGACAAAGTTGTAAAAAAGATCTTTTCTAACAAGATTCATTCAAGTAAGATGTCAATTATGATATCCAGTCCATTTAGTCCATTTTTGCTCATTTCGGGAGTTTACTCTACTCCAGTTACGTAATTGCAGTAATTTCTCCTTAATTCGCGGTCATATCGTGCACAAAAATGGACAATTTGCGAAGAGGAGATACGATTATTTGAGCCTTGCGGCTGGTTTTTATAGTTACCAATTGTTAACAACTTCAAAAACGAGACGCAAGGCTCGAATAATCGTACCTCCTCTTCCCAGATCGTCCATTTTTGTGCGCAATCTGACCGCGAATTAGGGATAAATTACTGTATAGTCAAATAGCGAGAGATTACTGACATTCCGGGAAAACAAGTTAAAAACAATGTTCTTTTTTTTGACAACACATTCAAATTGAGCAACCTCAAAAACATAAAAATCGTATGAAGTTACGAATTCTAACCAACTTTCTGAAAAAAGCTACCGCTGTGCGACGTGATCACGCATTCCTTTCGATGCTCCCTTCCCTTCTTTTTTCTCTCCTCCCTGTGTTCCGTTGCCCGATCGTTAAAGGCTGCCCGAAGAAATATGGTATTACGGTCGTTCCGTTGCTCATTCGTCGGATTCAATTCGCGGAGCGGGAACAGCACGAAATTGATAACGATACCGGTTGATTGCGCTCGCGATGCAAATTCTTCCCAGAGCTGATGGCACTTGACAGAATCCCATACGGCGTCGCGTTGCCGCTCGCGACTTGCTTCTAATATCTGCCAGATTTCCAACTTCCCGTTGCTTTTGACAAGCTCACAAACTCTTCACGCGAATTTTCACCGTCGCGGAGTGGTCTGGAAAGCGGTATTTCGTGACAGAAATCCTATTTTGAACTTCTGTATTTAGAGAAATTCGTGTTTGCTACAAGATGGTATTTCGTTAGAGTTTCAGAATCTAAATATCTTACCCCTTTCGCATGCAAATGAAAATAAAACTAATTATTTCCATAATTCGTTACAAAACATCAAAAAATAGGTTCGTATCGTACTTTAATGCTTAAATAGATTTCAATTGCTTAATTGCCTGTTCAATAAATTCCAATGTATTCGGCAACAATTTAAAGTTTATAACAGTTCTAATTTCGAGAAGGTTTATAAAAAAAATGTTACAGAATGTTAAACTTGGGACTTCTTCCTCTTCTTCCCATTTTATAGTTCGTGTGATTTTGAACAATAAAGAGCCCGAGGTTTCAACGGCCGTGATCAGACATTTCTGATGATCTGGCAAAAAAATTTTTCCAACAAAAGTCGATCACTTCTCTACAAATTAGAATATAAAAACTACGCGACGCTAATTATTGTACAAATCATGTAAAGATTTGATTTAGCACTTCAACCGACAAAATTTTAACGAAATCAGTTGACGTTGTTACGAGTTACAATAAATTAAAGATCACAAAAATCCAGGTTTTATCACGATATTGATCAAAAACTGGGAGAAATCTGCAGTTTTTTTTTAAATCTTTCAACGCCTGTAGCTTGACTCTGGGTCAACCGATTTCGATCAAATTTTCTGCACGTATACAAGTAACCGAGATCTACGAAAGACATTTTCTAAATTTTTGTTATAGGCTCAGATGAAAAATCAAGAGTTTCTTATCTCTTTTTTGTCATCCCAAGTAATAGCAAAATTGAAAAAAAGTATTTTACTCAATGTTTAGTACACTAGTCCCTCTATCATCTAAACAAATTCAAGTCATTTAGTTGAGTTTTAAAAACGTTATTATGTTCTACGCTATTACACTAATTATTACGCTATTACGTTATTACGTCACTGTAACCCACGTTGTTCTATAGCAGAAAGTTGCGTGATACAAGCGATCTCGTAAGGAAATAAGAATACTCACCGTTGAAGGTGGCAGTTCCTCGAAGTCTTCTCAACGAATGACAGCCGAGGCCCGCGTAGAACGCCCGTTATTATCGCAGTTTCAGCGTGGACCTGGTCATTGTTGGGTTCATTAACGCTTCCCACGTTCCTCTGGTTTATTTGACGAACGATTAGCGGTGCCGATGGTCGAACTTGCTATCGCGCGAGAACGTTAATCACCTCGACCGCTATCGTTCGCGTTCGCGTTCGCGTTCGTGGCGCACCGTAAGCTCCGGATCGCAGAGACGGGAATCGCAAACGAGAATATGGCTGAATCGTCTTGACTCGCACGAGATCGAGAGCTGAAACGCGGGCACGGGCAAAAACAGAAGCACGAATATCATTACGAACTAGAGATAGTACTTAAACCAGTTAGCTGTGTTTGACGAGTATGCTTGTCACGGGGAAATGGCAGTATTTTGTGTCATGACAAGTATACTCGTCGCGCGTAAAGAGCAGCGATCATTGGCTACTTAAATTGTAATTTTAGTGAAAACAAAGACATATTCTCAAATTTCAAGATGTTTGGAATATTTCGAGGCCAATCTTACACGACCCGCAAAGTGCCATTATGTATCGTTTCTTGCTTTGCCGAATGCCACTCTATTAGCAGCAATTTGGATGTTTAACTTTGATAAGTATTTGATTTGTCCTACGTTCGTCGTTTATTATGTATGTAGTATATGACTTTTAATCCAATATTTTAACAGCGACACTTGCTCCGCGTTTGACGATTATACCCGTCATCGCTTGATTCTCGTGATATAATACATACAGGTGCGCGCTCTGAGAAGGAAGCGCCACAGCTGACTGGTTAATATTGTATTTATCATAGAAAATGTTCATTCGGTGACAGTTCGGCCTGGTAATCCGACACACGGTGCGCTCGCTCAAATGAAATAAACGCCAACTGAAAGAAGTAGTGATTTCGCAGGATAGGAGCGGTTCCGTAGCGAGCCCTAATTTCCCAAAAGTTCCGATCCCGATGGTTACGCTGCGAGTTCCCGGACCGTCGAACTTTTCCAAATAGTTGTCAACATAATTGCGCTTCCCGCGTGTAAGTTCAGCCGACATTATCATCGTCGATTCGCGTGCATCGATTGTCTGTTACCACCGGGACAACTGAGATCCGGCGAAGTTTACAGTCTAAAAGCCAACAGTCACGAAGCTTATCGACTCGACGGAATTCCGCGGGCCTGGTCCCGCAAGCTCGACGTATCGTCATCGTCGGACGCTAATTTCTCTCGAGTTCCGCCACCCGTTTCCATCCAACTCCTCTCTCTCTCTCTCTCTCTCTCTCTTTCGCTCTCTTTTGCCCCCCGCGTTTAAAACTCTTTCATTGTTTTCGTGAAAGTTGGCGAACGAGTCCCGACGGGCTGCTCCGAACGACACGACCCAATTTTCTGTAGCGCTCAGCTCGAGGTGTTCGTATCGACAGGTCCGCGATACGAGCCACCAAGCCCCTCTTAACTTTTTCGATACAAATTACGAAGTCGGACGAGCGCCCCCGGCCCGACAAGCGACAGTGCAGCCTGGTAATCTCCAATCGACCGGTCCTCTCAATCGGAACGTTCAATATTGTCACGCTAGACCGTGTACGGTAATTAACCGGCGCTTGGTCCCATCATTAGTACGACTCTGTAGAATTAACCAAATGACGCATCGGTTCGCGTTAATCAATTTGTACCGAGAATTTTTTGCTGGCCAGTTCACCTGCTCGCAATACAGCTAAGACTTGTAAGATACCTGGGTACCAAGGCTACCTATGGGATACTCGGGTAAACGAAAGTTATCTGGCTGTCCTATGAGATAGCCGAGTACAGTAAATCCTTCCTAATTGATGCTCAGATTGGGCAGAAAAATGGATAATTTTGTAAGAGAAGATATGATTATTCGAGCCTCGCGCTCATTTTTAGAGTTTCCGATTGTCAATAATTATAAAAACGTGGTGCAAATAATCGCAAATAATCGCATCTCCTCTTCCCAAATTGTCCATTTCTGTTTACAAGCCGAAGGACAATTAGGGAGAATTTACTGTACAACTAAATCTTAGATAGGTTTTGTTGAAATTTTAGCCTCGAACAAAAATTAATCTATAGTTTACTTAGTACTAAGATACTAAGATATCGGTTTACATTTTCGTCGGTTCCGTCAGCGGGCAACGACGATGATGTAAACTGTATATAATAGATACCGCGATACATCATCACCGGTACCATTAGATACACATCGTGCCCTGACTGTTTGGGGATCCCAGCGTCACGTATACAATGTGAAACGCGACAAATAAAACGTCTCTGATTGGTGGATAAGACGAACCCAAGAAGGGTATAAAAGAAGCGTTTTTTCTTACCGGACTCTCAGTAGAGTTTGGTCGCTCGATCGTTTTCGCCCATATACCTTCACTCAATAAAGGAATAAAATAAAGTCCTTTTAAGCAAAGAATTAGAATCATATTCATTTTCATTCCATAATCCCAGCAGGTTTATTAACACTTGCGCCAAGTTTCATAAATATCAGCGTGTATCCGTCACCGGGTTCCCTTATATTAGGTTGGTGCATATGAAATGTCGGATTCTCTTTACATGTGAACGTTTGTCTCCCCGTTTTCGTCATGCTTCTGTTTTTGGCGTAACCTCGTTTGTGGTCGTACCGTCCATTGCCAGAGTCACATTTCAACAAAGAAGATTTTCTCAAAAGTGTTCCATTTTGTTATTTGTTTTGAACTCCGTAAGCAAAAGCTGCACGCAGTATAAACCAGGCGTTTGGGGAGGACGCTGTTAACGATCGAAAAGTGCAGCGTTGGTTTGAAAATTTTCGGTCTGCTGATTTTTCCCTACAAAGTGAACCGTGTGGAAGACCCAAAACGTCTGTGAA